TGGGAGCTTGGCGGGCTTCAGTCTATAGGGTTGCACAGAGTCGGACACGACTGAAGCGACTCAGCAGCAGCAGCAGCATGCTCACCTAATGCTTCTCCTCTCCCCACTCCCACCACCTCCTCAGGCAGACATTCCATGCTGGCATTGTTTATTACACCTTCTCAATTTACAGACTATTTTATTTGCGTGTGTGGATTATTTTGCATACAGTGGGAAATTTACCCAAAAAAATTACCAAAATTTACAAAGTTTACGTTGTTGTTTATTGTTAATGACCTTCCTCCAAAAGATTTTAATTTTTCCTTGCTCCTCCTTTTCAGATATTTTAAAACATACTCTGTGTACTGCGTCTGGTAGTTTTTCAAAGTGTTCAATCCCAGTCCTACTGGATTTCGGCCTCTGCAATGTTCTCCTAAGGATGCTTCCAACCCCTTTATGATGATCTCTACTTTGTGTCACTGCTTCCATTTATTTCATCCTTGTAGAATCAGAATTCATCAGAGTTCTTGTAAAGACATGGTCAATTCTATAGTAGCATCCCCTTTTCTTTTACTGGGATTATGACCATGTAGTTATATGGTCAAAATTTTCTTTTTCAGAGTCCCTTTTAAATTAGAGCCAGTATCTCTGTGTTCATTTTATATGTATCTTTTTTGCTGGTGTTTTAAAATGTTTTCCCTAGGTCAGTGGTGTGAATCTGATTAAAATTAACATTCTCTCTCCTCACTGTTACAGAATCCAGACTGGTACAGGAACTTCTGTCTAAGACTCCAATCATCTTCATGTTGTTATTGACTTTTTTTTTTTTTTTGCAGCCAGTCAATATAATAACTAGGCTGTTATTTAGTTCTTCCCTGTCCTCAAAGCTTGGAAACAGACTCCTGCCATTCCTAACCTACTTTAGTCAAACCATTGTAAATCTGCCCTCTGTGACTTTATTTAAAACTCTCTTAAAATATGTAATATTTAGTGTATTTTTTCACTCTGTTGGTTAAATGAATTCTGAGATTACTTTCTATGCTGTTAAAAAACGGACATTATTTTCTCTCTACTAAAAGGATCTCGCTTATGCTTTTGAGCAGTAAAACCCTAGGTTTCATATTGCATGAGTTGGTGAGTAAATGCTTGTTTACCTTGTCAAGACTTTCCTAATCTCTTCAGTCTATTTCTTATGGGAAAAAAAAAGGTGAGTTTTATTTTCTGTTTGATTAGCATCTTTATGTAGGAAAGTGTTTTACTTAGGAAGCACGCCTTTATATCCCTTGACATTTTCCTCAAAGCAACGTTGTGGAGAATAAAAGCCCCCGCTGTCTTTATATGGATCTGCAGACCACTGTAATCTGAGTAACTTTACTTCAGGGTCCGGTGGGGGGGAGAGAGAGAGAGCTGGGTCCTTTTAGGGGCCGCTCCCACTCTGAATTTCAAGTACCAGGGTTTACCACTCCCTTCCTGAGCCGCAGGCCCACTTTCCCTCTCTCTTCACTGAGGTAGTTTTTATTCTTCAAGACTCAGCCCCTGTTTTCCTTCTCTGTGGTGCTTCCCTGACACCCCACAAGAAAATGGCATCTTTTCTGTCTCCTCACCACCCATTTCTACAATAAAAATTTTTTCCCCTCTAATATTATTGATGCAGCATCTAGTGACTGACCTCCTAGGTGCTGTGGAGACATGTCGTTCTCTGCATTGCTGTGAAGGCTGGTTAGTAGGAAAAAAAATTTTTTTTCAAACACTGGATTTAATATAAAAGCTGAGTTACAGGAGCTTTCAAAATACCAACTGCACATAATATTTTGTATGTTTAAACAAGAAATGACATATAGAAGCTTTCCAAGTGACATTAATGATGTAAAGCATATGAGTCATAATTAGCCCCACACATTTTGAAAGAATCGGTACCATTTTTAAAAAAAATGTGTTGGAGTGTAATTAATTTATAGTGTTGTGTTTCCAGTGTACAGCAAAGTGAATCAGTTATACAAGTAGCCAGTCTGTTTTAAAATTCTTTGCCCATATAGGCCGTTACAGAGTACTGAGTAGCGTTCCTTGTGCTGTACAGTAGGTCCTTGCTAGTTGCCTATTTTATATATAGTAGTACGTGCATATCCGTCCCCGTCTTCCAGTTTATTCCTTCACCCCCTTTCCTCCCAAGTAACCGTACGCTTGTTTTCTGCATCTGTGACTCTCTGTTTTGTAAATAAGTTAATTTGTACCATTTTTTTATATTCTTCATATAAAAGATATCATATGATGTTTGCCTTTCTCTATCTGACTTACTTCACTCACTGTGACAATTTCTGGGTCCATCCACATTGCTGCAATTACAGGCATCATTTTATGTGAGACAGCGGGAGAGACACAGATGTATAGAACAGTCTTTTGGACTCTGAGAGAGAAGGTGAGGGTGGGATGATTTGAGAGAATAGCACTGAAACATGTACATTACCATATGTGAACTAGATCGCCAGTCCAGGTTGGATGCATGAGACAGGGTGCTCAGGGCTGGTGCACTGGGATGACCCAGAGGGATGGGATGGGGAGGGAGGTGGGGGGGGCTCAGGATGGGGAACACTTGTACACCCATGGCTGATTCATGTCAATGTATGGCAGAAACCACCACAATATGGTAAAGTAATCAGCCTCCAATTAAAATAAATAAATTAAAAAAAATAAAAGAATAAATCTCTTCAGAGAATTTTGAAACTGCAAATAAGTAAATAAAGGACAGTGTTTAACCGAGCCTGGGCTTCCCTGGTGGCGCAGATGGTAAAAAAAATATCCACCTGCAATGCAAGAGACCTAGGTTCAATCCCTGGGTTGGAAAGATCCCCTTGCAGGGGGCATGGCAACCCACTCCAGTATTCTTGCCTGGAGATTTCCGTGGACAGGGGAGCCTGCTGGGGTTGCAGAGAGTCAGACACGACTGAGCAACTTTCGCTCTGTTTTACACTTTGATGCTGGCTGCAGTGCTCAGTAGCTGGATGGGGGGCAGGGGGCAGGTGCCAGGAGGCTGTCATAGCAGGAGCCAGCTTCTCACAGTCTCTCCTCTCCCACCTGCTCGTGGCCCTGTCCCTGGGACTGAGGAGCAGAGGGAACTGTGCGTACTGTGCCACTGAATAGAGTGAGTCCAGATGGTCAACCCGTGTCCTGTCCAGCGGACCACACTGCCTCCTGACACTTCTTGGCAGTTTCTAAGATGCAATGCTACTAAGAGTCCTGAGTGGCAAATTGCTCCAGGTCTCAGGCCTCCTGGCCAGAATAGCGTGGCCCATCAGTTTCTAGCTTGGGAATAAGAAGAAGGAAAACAAACGATGCTTCCTGGTGAGAGAGCAGCATCATAGCGACCAGATCCCCCTCCTGGGTTTGCCTGCTAGGCACAAGGTCCTGCGCTAAGAGGTTGACCGTTCACCTTGCTCTCCACCTTTGCCTGCCTGGGAAACTAGTTTGAGAGAAAACCTAAGCACAGATAAGCAAAGAAAATAGCCATGCACGCAAAACCCACAGGCCGGTTAAATGGCCAGAGGGGCTTATGGAACACTGGCTGTCAAAATGCATTTGTTCTGCTGTTTGACGGTGGATGCCAGCTTAACAACTTTTGTTCTTTCTGTGTCGTCAGAACCTTTGTTTACTTATTTACTTCTTTATACATGACTCAAAAAAGTACCTATGTAAACCTCTCCCTAAGCAATAATACCTGCAAAATTGCATGGTTTCCTTTTAATACATTTTTTTAAATTCCTGACACATATTAGGTTGAACTGTATGAAACTGCCAATATTTGACCTTTTTTTTTTTAATCCTCTAAGACATTCATGTCACGTGGCTTAAAGTAAGCATAAGTATTAAAAATCAGAATGAGGGTTTCATGGCTCACATTGAATCCCTGGATATAGTAACAGAGGAACATGTCACCCCAGAGGAAGTCCAGAGTTGGAGGGAGCAAGCCGTAAACAGTGGGTCTTGAGAGATTTCTCAGAGGAGGGGGGCCAGGCTGCGAGCCTGGAAGGAAGGATGCACAGAGGAAAGAGAGAGGAGCACGGCTCTCCGGGGAGCAGCCATCTGTGAGGACGGCTGGGGGCCAAGCGGAAGAGGAGAGCCAGTGGACTGGAGGGAGCGCTCCGGACTCCTCTGCTGTGAACGATTAATCCCCGCATTTGTTTGTTTCTGATGCAGTTGTGTGTATCTTTTAATTGGAGGAGGATTGCTTTGCATGTTGTGTTAGTGTCTGAGGTACAGCATCCTGAATCAGCTGCACGTGTATATATATCCCCGCCCTGGTGAACCCTCCCGCCCCACCCCGGGTCATCACGGAGGCTGAGCTGAGTGTCCTGTGCTATCCAGCAGCCCCCCACTAGCTGGCTGTTTCGCCCACGGCAGTATATGTGTATGTCAATCCTCCTTTCCCGCTTTCCCCATCCATCTCACCCTCCTTTCCCCTCCTGCCGCACATGTCCGCGCTCTGCCTGTGTTCTCTGTTCCTGCCCTGCAAACAGGCTCATCTGCACCATCTTTCTAGATTCCAAGCATATGTGTTAATATACATGATGCCTAAGCCACAAAAAGGAGCGAGGTTGGGTCATTGGTCATGATGTGGTTGGACCTAGAGTCTGTCTTGCAGGGTAAAGTAACTCGCATGTATTTGGAAAGCACGTTTTCAAAGCACATGAGCACAGTTTTCTGACCTTTCTGGAGTTTTGTGACGGTTCCTCTGTTTCGATGACCAATACCTCACGCAGGTCAAGTAGCATTTCTGACAGGGAGTGTGCGGTTGTCTGCAGGGTGACCACGATTAGGAATGGCTGTGTGATGTGAATACAGGAGGCATAAACTTGCAAGCAGACAGCTTCAGAGAGTGGGAGGTTCCGTTGGCTACTCCCCCTGAGAGTCAGGCTTCCCAGACTGTCAAACCCCAGCGAGATCTCTCCTGCCAAAGACAGCAACTGGCAGGGTTAAAGCTCCCTCCAGTTCATTCCAGAAACTCCCCTGGCCGTTCCTGTGGATGTCTCTCTCTCTTTCTGGCCCATCCCTACTATGCCGCCGATGCCAGCCCCGGGCTCTCATCCTTACCAGCTGCAGGTAACGGGTAACACCCCCGACATTCCCTGGCACTTACTGTGAGGGTGACTCCAAGGTCAGCTTCCCAGGAGCCTTTTCCACAGCTGCCATGCCTGCGGGCCCAGTCTGGCCCCGCCCGAGGTGTATGTTCCAGCAGAGAACATCCAGGCATCTGAGCAGTGGGCCCTGGAACAGCATGAACTGCATTTTCTTGGAATCAAAAGAGAACACCTGTGTTCTCATGTGCTGGAAAAGCTCACCAAGTGCTTCTGATGAAGAAATGTGTCCCCGTTGGTTTGAGAGCTCGCTGTATTTAGAGAAGTTTGAGTAGCACTTCTTATTTTATGTCATGTATAGAGAATAAGCTTGGATGTGTTTTACCAACAATTTACTGGTGTTTGATGTCCAGGGTTTATTATTTGTGTCTGAGGCAGAAAGAACAAGGAAAAGCTGCTCCTATTCACTGATGGGCTCTAGACTGCCTCCTACCCCAAAAAAGCTGGAAGGTCAAATAGAAAATCAGCAATAATAACCTTAGAAGTCAATCCGCTTGTAAATTATTCTCAGAACCAAGATGAAGGCCGGATTACCTATACATCTTTAAAATAGCTTCTCTGGTGTCTCAGACAATAAAGAATCTGCCTGCAATGCATGAGACCTGGGTTCGATCCCTGAGTCAGGAAGATCCCCTGGAGAAGGAAATGGCAACCCACTCCAGTATTCTTGCCTGGAGAATCCCATGGACAGAAGAGCCTGGGCTATAGTCCAAAGGGTTGCATCACAAGGAGTCGGGCATGACTGAGCGACTTTCTCTTCACTTCGCTTTAAAATGGTACAGTTATTTTATTTATTGGGAGTCTAAGGGCACCATAACTCTTGGTGATGATTATCTATCATATTTCTTGAAGATATAGAAGACTCTGGCATTCCTTGATTTTGTAAGCATGCATTGTAAAACATAGATTTTAGTATTTCCCAGCTTTGGTGAAGCCAAAGGTCAGAAGAAGACTTCCATTGATAAGGTCGTGTGTCACTCACAGATCCTAAGAGGATAAAGCATGCCACCCCAGGTCAGTGTCAGGATGCAGACTGAGCAAGGGAAGAAAGTGAGCAACCGGCTTCGTGGTAGTTTGTGAAAGAAAGAACAGGTAAAGCAGGGCAGGTCGGTTTAGGACTGGCTAGTTTGAATCACTTCAGCAGGTTATGAGGTTCTGGGCTGTTTCTAGTTGTCTGGTGCCTGGTCCTGGGGCAGTTAGGCCAGGGGCTTAGTGGAGTGGATTGAAGATACGAGCTCTCAGTTGGTTGGCTTGCATTTGAAGACTATGCTCCCATGGTTGGCTGTCTTTAGCCAACAATACCTGGCAATCCCTCCAGGGCCAGGAAGGGCCCAGATGTTAAAGCATCAGAAAAATAGAAAAAAATGGAAAAAACACAATGTGGTATATATGTATATGAATGTATATGTACACACACATGCACGTACACAGACATACTCACTCCTTCTGTGTGTTCCATACATTTGTGTGGGGGGAGGGGAGAGTGCATGTTCTTCTGCATTCCAGACCCTGTTTTGGTTGATGATGATTTAGCAGGAACAACATAAACAGTTTTTAAAAGGCAGCCTGCCCTTAGGCAAGAGCCAACTAATCAAAGAAATAGTTGTAATATAACCTCAAATACTGAGACATCCTATGGGGAAAAATATGACTGGTGGAAGGACGGAAGGGAACTGAAGTTGCTGTTTTTGGTAGGTCAGGGATGGCCTCTCTGCAGAGGGTGATGGTTCAGCAGAGGAGAGGAAAGGGCAGGTGTCCAGGTGTCTGGAGGAACCACAGGTGCCGAGTCACTGAGAGGATTCTGCTTGGCAGGCTCAGGGAACAGTAGTTTGTGAAAGAAAGAACAGGTAAAGCAGGGCGGGTCGGTTTAGGACTGGCTAGTTTGAATCACTTCAGCAGGTTATGAGGTTCTGGGCTGTTTCTAGTTGTCTGGTGCCTGGTCCTGGGGCAGTTAGGCCAGGGGCTTAGTGGAGTGGATTGAAGATATGAACTCTCAGTTGGTTTTACTTGCATTTGAAGACTATGCTCCCATGGTTGGCTGTCTTTAGCCAACAATCCCTGGCAATCCCTCCAGGGCCAGGAAGGGCCCAGATGTTAAAGCATCAGAAAAATAGAAAAAAATGGAAAAAACACAATGTGGTATGTATGTATATGAATATATATGTACACACACATGCACGTACACAGACATACTCCTTCTGTGTGTTCCATGCATTTGTGTGGGGGGAGGGGAGAGTGCATGTTCTTCTGCATTCCAGACCCTGTTTTGGTTGATGATGATTTAGCAGGAACAACGTAAACAGTTTTTAAAAGGCAGCCTGCCCTTAGGCAAGACCCAACTTATCAAAGAAATAGTTGTAGTATAACCTCAAATACTGAGACATCCTATGGGGAAAAATACAACTGGTGGAAGGACGGAAGGGAACTGAAGTTGCTGTTTTTGGTAGGTCAGGGATGGCCTCTCTGCAGAGGGTGATGGTTCAGCTGAAGAGAGGAAAGGGCAGGTGTCCAGGTGTCTGGAGGAACCACAGGTGCCGAGTCACTGAGAGGATTCTGCTTGGCAGGCTCAGGGAACAGTAGTAAAGCTTGTGGCCTGGGAGCCCTGGGAGAAAAGAGGGCTATAGGAAATGAGACAGCAGGGGTGATGAGAAGGCAGAATCTCAGACCTCAGCAGGCAACAAGAAGCTCTGTATGTTTCTGTGATGCTCGAAACCCAAGCCATATGAAGACTAGAGGTAAGCTTTAGCCTCAAAATGCAAATTAAGTTGTGATCGCCTCATTCTCTTTTCTTTTCTTCTGTCCATGAAATTCTCTAGGCAAGAATACTGGAGTAGGTTGCCATGCCCTTCTCCAGGGGATCTTCCCAACCCAGGGATCGAACCTGGGTCTCATGCATTGCAGGCAGAATCTTTACTATCTGAGCCACCAGGTAATCCAGGTTGAAGGTTTCTGCTAAATCACTCTTATCGTCTACACTATTAAATTTTTTCAGTATTTATTTGAGACGGCTTCTTTTTTAATGTCTTTCTCCCCCAATGTTCTACATTTGGATTTCTTTTCTTTCTTTCTTTCTTTTTTTTTTTTTTTACAGTTGAAAACAAACAGAACTTCTCTATAAAATGCAAAAGCATAGCTTTGGGTTAGGAATGTTGGAAAACTACTTTCTGTACCATTGAGTTCCTTGGCATATATGTGGCATTTAAATAAAATGAAATACAATTGGAAAACTGCCACACTTCTGAAAATCTAGAAGAAAAAAGATCTGAGAACAATCAACAATTTGCTTTTATTTTCTGTTACATTGTGATTTTTTTTTTTTTGCACTTGGTATCGTTTACTGAATATAAAGTAAAATCCACTCACACTCCACTTACCATAAGCGCGCCCACAAAGAAAACCTCATTTCAAATATAATTGTGAATATTGTTCCTTTGTTAAAAATTCATGGGGTTTATAAACGTCTCACATAAGTACTGGAGTCTCTGTTATTTCCCCAGCTCTTTTTCCTACTGCCAGTTCTGATCAGAATTTTAAAACACCCCTGTCCATGAAGGCGTTCTCCAGAGAACAAAAAGGAGGGGAGGGGAAAAATTATGAATATAACTAGGAAGACCTTCTGACCGCATAGCCTGCAGTTTCCTGATTTAGTTTCAGTGGAAAGGTAGGTGAATGGACAGGGGGCACACCAGCTTCTGTCAACCTCAACATCTTGTTACTGCTGTTTTTTAAATAACTTTATTTATTCATTTAGAGTGTGCTGGGTCCCCATTGCTGTGCCAGCTTTTCTCTAGTTGTGACGAGTAGGGGCTACTCTCCAGTTGTGATTCACCGGCTGCCCGTTGCACTGGCTCCTCCTGTTGCAGAGCACGGGCTCGGGTGTGCACAGGCTTCATTAGTTGTGGCACATGGGCTCAGTCGCTCCACAGCATGTGGGATCTTCCTGGACCAGGGATCGAACCTTGTCTTCTGCACTGGCAGACAGATGCCCTTGTTACTGCTATTAAGTTCTTCTCTTGGGAAATTTTAAATGTGGTGCAAACTAAAAGCTGGTTAGGGGCTTGGTTGTTTTATTTTTGGTAAATGGAGGACACTAAAGAGTAGGCTGTTGGCCTAGCTTCTCCTCTGTTCTGGTCCTAACACCCTCCACCACCTCCCCTTAGTGAGATTTAACTCATGCCCCACTTCTTAATACCATGCATGATGTTTGCTCCAGTGGGCAAGACAAGCAGTGCTGTGCAGTTCAGTGACTTGGTCCATCGACATGTGGAGGCCCTGTTGCTTATATTTCATACGCTTTCATTGATTTGGGTCAAGAATATTCACGAGAAAACTAGTGGCTGGGAATCCCTGGTGGTCCAGTGGTTAGGACTTGGTGCTTCTGCTGTCATGGGCCTAGGTTCAGTCCCTGATTGGGGAACTAAGATCCCCCCCCCCCAAAAAAAAAATAAGATCCCCCAAAAGTGTGAGTCATGGCCAAAGAAAGAAAAAAAGAAAATTAGTAGAGTATAAAATAAGACTGTGATCATGTGGCATGGAGGAAAAAACACTTCTAGATTTCATGTATAAATTTACAACCATCGTATTATACTTAAAGAAATCACCTTTTCTCCTCATATAAACTTATTTTTGCAGTTTAACTCAGCAAGGAGCTTGCAAATTCAGAAATAATTTGAGCTCAGTACAACTCTCAGAAAGGATCCAATTATAACCTCTCTTTTATTCTGCATCGCATTTGAGGATTAGCTCACATTTCCTTTTTAATTGGCTGCTCTGCCTAAAATGGCCTGCTCATCTCTTTGGTTCCTGAGTATGTGAGCCAATGGCAAGAGATGTAGTCAAGAGATCCATGCTTCTGTTGGCAATTGTTCTGAACTTTGTTTGATGGATTAAGTCATCAAGGTGGGCACTCCAAGCCTTTCCCATGTTTGATCTCCTGGACCACAGGAGTTTACAGGCCAAGACTGT